TAGGGCCTTTTTGATATCAATTTTGAGTTCGCACAGTTGAACATCGCGCTATTTTTACAGTCATTTTTAAGGACTTTCTCGACTTAGACTTTCCGTTTTTTTTAATTTTTATAAAAGGGCATGTCCTTCTTATAGTAGTGTATCATTTTCAGCGCGTAACTCTCGTTTAGGGCCTTTTTGGGAGGTATTTTGGATTTGAATTTATGGTCATTTTTAAGGACTTTCTCGACTTAGACTTTCCGTTTTTTTTTATTTTTATAAAAGGGCATGTCCTTCTTATAGTAGTGTATCATTTTCAGCGCGTAACTCTGACGTTTAGGGCCTTTTTGATATTCAATTTTGAGTTCGCACAGTTGAACATCGCGCTATTTTTTCAGTCATTTTTAAGGACTTTCTCGACTTAGACTTTCCGTTTTTTTTTATTTTTATAAAAGGGCATGTCCTTCTTATAGTAGTGTATCATTTTCAGCGCGTAACTCTGACGTTTAGGGCCTTTTTGATATCAATTTTGAGTTCGCACAGTTGAACATCGCGCTATTTTTTCAGTCATTTTTAAGGACTTTCTCGACTTAGACTTTCCGTTTTTTTTTATTTTTATAAAAGGGCATGTCCTTCTTATAGTAGTGTATCATTTTCAGCGCGTAACTCTGACGTTTAGGGCCTTTTTGGGAGGTATTTTGGATTTGACTTTATGGTCATTTTAAGGACTTTCTCGACTTAGACTTTCCGTTTTTTTTATTTTTATAAAAGGGCATGTCCTTCTTATAGTAGTGTATTATTTTCAGCGCGTAACTCTGACGTTTAGGGCCTTTTTGGGAGTATTTTGGATTTGACTTTATGGTCATTTTAAGGGCTTTCTCGACTTAGACTTTCCGTTTTTTTTTTATTTTTATAAAAGGGCATGTCCTTCTTATAGTAGTGTATCATTTTCAGCGCGTAACTCTGACGTTTAGGGCCTTTTTGGGAGGTATTTTGGATTTGACTTTATGGTCATTTTTAAGGACTTACCTTCTCGACTTAGACTTTTCGTTTTTTTTTTATTTTTATAAAAGGGCAGGGCCTTCTTATCATTATTTATGTATCATTTTCAGTGCGTAACTTTTACGTTTAGGGCTGTTTGGTATCAATTTTGAGGAAGGCAAACTTGATATTCAGAACAAAAGTTAATTCTAAGCATCACGTAGGTATTTTGAGTAGGGTTCGTGGACGGGAAAATTCAATCATCTCGATAGGTGTCTCTCAAGGTTCCATATCCTTTGCTGTGCACAGCTTTACGTTTGATTTATTTGTTAATATTGAAATATGTTGTTCTACAAATTACAGGGTATGTATCTGTAAATTGGAGACTCAAAACTTTTTAAAAATTTGTATCCATTGCCTTAATCTTTAATTGCTTTATCATGCAATACCTATCTTTGTTAATTTTTCACCGAAATTAAACCCTATTTAAAATCAATTTCCCTCACTCAGACATAAGCACTCGAAAACATAATCGTGAACTAAATAACAATGCGAGTTTTAAAAATCCCTTTACTGAGGCGTGAACACGAGATGGAGCGCCCTAATGCCATTTATTTGGTAGGGCCCCCCTCGCGTTTAAAACTAAATAAACACGAACGCACAGCTGTATATCATACCTATTATTTGACCCCTTAAACAAAATATTATTAAAACAAGAGCACCTGCGATGTCCCAGTTCCCGTTTTAAAATTTAATTGATCCTTATCGAATCGAGTCGCCCTTCGCATTCGTTGAAATTGTTTGCGAAAATTATTTAAAACCAATTAGGGAATTCGGTTTGATAGTATCGTATCTTATATAGTTATCTACCCTTTTGCGGCAATCATCCCCATTATCTTTTTTTTGTGTACGAAAACCGCTTTTTATGAAATTAACGGAGCATTTAATTGGAAAAGTGGATTAGGCTTAGGTAAAGCTGGCCATATAAGAATCAAAGTACGCCATTGTAGCCCTTCAGGAAGACTAAAGGGTTTCTACGATTGTTTGAATGTTTTATTTTCGTTCACAAATACTTTCTAGCGATGAAATAACTATTCTAGATATCCTTAATTTCCACTTCTTTTCGAAGGGTCACTTGTTTTTTAAATTTAAATGCCTTTATTTCGGGTTCACATGTGTTAAAAATAGTTCTAGTTTAACAGACATTAAAATGTTTTTAAATCATTTTTAATTTCTTTTTAGGAATACAATTTCAGTTAACGCGCACCAGGTATACCTAAAAGCAAATAGGGTGTTGGTAGCCGGTAGGCCAAATAAAGCTCGGTTAAACGAGACCAAGTTTGCTAAAATCGGTTAAGCCAAACTTGAGAAATCAATATTTATTTAAAAAACATTTGATTTCTCCCCCCACCACTTTATTTCACAAGATCAGAAAAAACAATAAAACTTGGCTATTTTTGATACCACTTTATTAGATAAAATTCGGAGAAAATTAAAATTTTATATTTCATCATGACTGTTGCGTCCCCTAGTGGTAATTTTACACACTGAAAAATAATGTTCAGCAATTTCTCTTGGCCACTTATATTACATCATTTTTTAGCCGAAAGCTCTGAGATATGAGATATACCAGGTACGTAATCATGAAAATATTTCCAATAAACAAATTACATAAATCAGTGCCGTTCAGGTAAAACGCTGCATTATAACATTTCAAGGTAATTTTTTTTTTTTTTTTTACAAAAATATTGATTACCTTTATTTATTGATTTATATATATTATAAAAATAAAGGTTTCAAGATTTAATTTTTATTATTTTTCTTAATTTGTTTCACTACATGGACCCAACTAAAAAACAATTTAAATTTACAATGAGTAAGTATACCGGGTGATGACTTGAACAACGCATCATAGGAATTTCCAGGGGAATTTCAATAGTATTTTTTTCATTTCTTCCCTAATTATTTTAGAGATAAAGTTTATTTAAGTTTTTATAACAAAATCAGTGTGGTACCATGACAGTTTGAGATCAATATAATTAGGGAAGCCAATAATTAGAAATGAAATAATTGCTATTGAAATTTCTATGGTGCGTTCAAGTCACCACCCTGTATAGATATAAATGGCGACATTACCTTTTTTGGTTGCATCTGCTGTCGGGTCCGCAACTACCTACCTCGATTTGGCGATACAGATAATGGAAATCTTACGACTATTTAGGTGCCTGCAGGATACGTGATTGCAGAATAAAATCAAAGCAGCCATTAATTAATTTCTATTGGTTACGGTTTTTAGTTCTACCAATCCTTGTTTTCTGAAACATTTACTCAGCATGCTTCACGCTACGGAGTTATTATCATGCTTAGTTAGGCCCTCATTAAAACGGATGTAACAAGAAGCAGACTTCTTGGCGTGAACCAGTTTATTTAAACAAAAAACCAATTGGAAAAACGCAAAAACATTTGCTCGTGTCTTAACTCCAACGAATGTTGATAGCTTTCCGAGGTTATGCC